TCCACACTGCTTTTGATAATGTCTTTACTAAAGGAGTTCGCCATCTTTCAAATGAAGTCAGTTCCCACAGGTGGAGCTATGGAGTTCTTTGCCCTAATCACGTGTGATTTCCCCTTGACCAGAAATTCCACCGTACTGAATTGCACTGGGGCAAGGTCAATGCTGAGTGAAATTTCCACCCTATGAATAAGGTGGAGAAGAAAAATTTAGCATGTCATTGTTCTCACAAGTGGAATGGAGTTTCCACACAACCATGGTTTAAATGTACACCCAAATTTTCATGTGCTGAAAAAAGTTCATGTTAATGATATTGGTGGCGGGATCTTTGGGAGGTAAAATGAGATGATGATGGTGGGGTGTGCATGATGGCACCACTGACTGACTTTGTAAGAGACATTAGCTAGTACGCTTCCTGTTTCTCCTTATAGTACCTTCTACCATGCGACGACACAGCAAAAGGGCACTCACCAAATGCCAATCAGATGTTGGCACCGCATGATTAGTGCCATAGGCTAATAAAATTCCAATCTTTATAGCTTACCTGCTTAAATTTTGCTATAGCAGCAGAAAATGGGCTATGGCACACATAAAGGAGAAAAACAGGATGTAGATAAAAAAAAAACTGCAGGCAGCTCTTGATGACAGAATAAAACTCCAGCCTCAAGTTGGGAACTGGGGATGAGGAAGTCCCATGTATCCCCACTACATGTCTTTACCACACCTGCTCAGAGCAGAATGCCCAGGGTAGAGCTTCCAGCACAGAGCATATGGAACATAGCATTTCTTAAAGGCCACAGTCTCTTGCTGTTCTTAAGATTAGACTGTCTTAAATGTTTCTCCATTTCCTATAAGCCCATAGGACATTTTTAGGAGCATTCAACAGACTATTTTTTCTTTCAATTAACTTTCAAAAAGATTTATTTATATTTTTAAAATATGTGCATGCATGTGTGTCTGGTGGGTATGTGCACATGAGTATAAATGCCTTCAGAGGCCAGAAGAGGGTGTTGAATTTCTAGAACTGGAGTTAACTGCCTGATGTAGGTGCTGGGAACTGAACTTGGGTTCTCTGCATGAGCAGGTTTCTTAACCACTGAGCAATCTCTCCAGTCCTTATAACAACTTTCCAAAAAGCAGTTAAATTGTTGCTTTGTTGGGGAGGCCTGTGGAAGTCATTAATTCTCCATTCTCAACCATGAGCCTTAAATTTATTTCCAAATGTGTGGAAATATGGTACAACACAAGAACTGGGGTTTTCACTCCTGCTTAGCCTCTACTGGAGTGCTTTCTCTTGAAGTTCAGCTTTCTCAGTTATAGAATAAGAAAAAATATACTAAATGACCTTTAAACCCCTTCCAACTTTAAAACCCCATGGTTTTATGAAAAAGGAAGAGAAAGACACCAGTGAACATTTTACTGTATCTATATGAGAACATGAAATATGGAAACAATCTGTATATATTTTTTAAAAACTTCCAATCTGTTTTTAATTAGAACACATACTTCATTTCCAATTTTACCTAGCTAATCAAAAATGCAGGCAAGACATTTCCCAACCCCAAGGTTTCCCTCCTAATCATACAATTGAGAAACTGGGGATAAGTAAGAAACTAGGGCCTTTTCACTGGTTGGCTATCAAAAATATGACAGCTTAATGCTAAATAAAACCACCATAATTTGCTACCATTTTACCTATATCATAACTCTGCAAACATTTACTTTCTTACTGAAAAAAAAGCCAAGTTTTTACCTGCTGTCTAAAGCTGCAAGGCCATATTCCCAAAGTGCTTAGTAATTACCTGTATTTATTCCAAGTGTGTAAGGAACAAAATGTCAGTTTCCCTGAGCACTGCAGAAAACTTATTTCCATCAGACACTCATTTCTAGGCACAAAGATAGCATATTTATTCAGTGATGATTATCTGCACAGGTTGCTACAAACAAGAGAATTGTGGTAAGATAAATCCTTGGCTGAGATGTTTTGTCTCAATCAGCTTTATCCAGAATGTCTCACTCAATGGTGTAATTTAGCATACAGTTTACATCCCAGATCAATACACTTAGAAGGGAAAAGAAGGAATTTTTCTATAATTAAAAACAAACTGTAATTACAAACATATTTAAACACTTTTAACTGCTAATTCAAAACAGAATATCTTGTAATCAAGTTACAAGATGAGGGAATTAGAAATATATACAGAAAAGGCAGCTACTTGGTGATATATTCAGCAAGTAGGAAGGATAGGAACAAGATGGCAGTATGGAAAAGCGATCTAGAAACAAGGTCTAGAAAAGCGATCTAGAAACAAATACAGCTTTTAAATACCTGGCCTTCAGAGTAAAACAAGTTTTAAAAAAATAGCCATCTTCAAAAACTGAGATCTGTCAACATGGAAGAGAAAGTCAGAATATTCATTGTAAGGTATATAAGAGGTGCAAATCCCTGCAGAGGTATGCATATCTTGAGACTGTTCATGTTCAGATGTGAAGGTCTTCCTGATTCTCAGAAGTGACCCTGGCTTGAGCTGTTAAAAATTTCCAAATGAGCCCATCTGCACAACAAGACAGTTCTATGTTAAGGACGATCAGTAAAGCATCTGGCCCAGTTTTATGATCCTAAATTACCTTGGCTTCAAGCTAATTTTTGTAAAGTGGGATTTCTTTAAGAAGAGAATAATTTTTTTAATCCTTAAAAAAAAGAGATGTTAAGAAATGAACCCCCATTATCTTGCTCTATTTTCAAAGCTCATATTTTAAAAGTATAACTTACTCTTCCCAATATATTAAAAAAACAATGCTGCAATGCTGCTTTCATTTTTAATTTATACACATTATCCTTTTTGCGTAATTATGTAATATTGTGATGTAAAAATTAGTGCATTATAATTAACTGCCCTTTTCTTGGCATTTCCCATGACTGAATCATCCCAGGAAGCTTGTCTTTCATCTTCATCTGTCTATTATTTCCCTCTATAGAACCACCTGAGGATGACGTAATTTTTAAAAAGATGTCTTTAAGACTTAGTTATTGTCTCTACTCTGTCTTTTTTAGATAATTTTAGCTTTGTTAGCCGAAAGATAGGTTAATGACTACAAATGCCTAAGAACCACCTGCAAACATATGAAAAGAAAATAGTTTCAAAATCTTAGTGGGAATATTATCCCTACCCTGAAAATATTCCTACTTTCTTGGAGTAAATGTTCCCTATATCACAAAATAACTTTCTTTGAACACTGCTATGTACACTTCAAGAAGAATTCTTACTAATGATTATTACACTCTGCTTGTCTCTGTGAGTTCCATCATCTCCATCAGCATTGCTGCAAATGAAGGAATTAATAGTGATGCAAAATTTTTATCTAAATTTAATCACATCTGCAGTAATGTAACTGATTTATTCAAAGGATGTACTCTTCCCCCCTCGAGAATAGCACTGATAACTACATCTTGAGAGCAAGAAATATCAACAAAACAAACCACAAAACATAGCAGTGTTATTTTCAATTTTAAAAGCAAGATCCTGCAAAAATTACTTTGGCATCAAAGATTAACTGAAATAATGGCTTCAGATCAGCAAAGTATTATATAACAGAAGGTATTTATTCACCAATTACAATAACACAAATCAAAAAATATTAATCTCTCCCACACTAAATTATCATTTAAAACACATTAAAACCATAATGTAACAAGCAGTTTAGGACCTTTCCTGAGAAATAAAGCCACATTATAAATGATTATGTGGCCATTCATGAGATACACATGTTTCAAAATGAATGGGTATTATCAAACAAATTAAATTCATACTGAAACAAGAGAAGAACTTTTTGTTTCCTTTTTCAGTTTTAAGAGAAAGGGTCTCACTATATTGCCCAGGTTAGCCTCAAATTCCTGGACTCAACCTCCTGATGCTGAGACTCCAGGTGTACTTTTTACTATGTCTGAATTAAAAGAACATCTTTTTAAGTGATATCATTTTAATAATTATTTCCAACAGGTAAAATGTTTTTCTATATCACTTAGTCTCTCTTTTACATTAGACTTAACAAAAATTCATTAAATTATGAATAAGTAAGAAAAAATGTTACAATAAACTGCAATTGTGAAGTGTCAATACAGATTAAGAGATCTGGTCACCTAAAGAATATACCTATAGATGGAATTCTTTCCTATTTATCAAATGTTTTTTAATAATTTTAAGGGGACACTGACTTATATACATATATTAGCATGTACACAGACATTCACATGTGTGGATGTACAACATCCTATTTACTTATTTCACTGTATAACTTCAGATAGCAAAAGCAGTGCATTTAAGATAGAAATAGGAAAGACCATTAACTCCTTAAACTTTGGGGATCATTGCCAGTATAATAACTTTCAAATGACATCAAGGTTTCTGAGACTTGAAATAAAAATTAGTAAATTTTGGTTCAAAACAAAAACTTGGGTGGGGGGTCAAAATAAAATTCCAATCACTAGAGAAGAGTTACAGTGGCGATTAAAGATAATATTCTATACCAATGTGAGTTTTTCTTCAAAAAAGGACATAATAATAACTCTTACTATAGGTGTCAAAAAGGAAAATGCCCAAAGTATAAGTACAGTTCATTTTGGTAAGTTCCAACATTAAGTGTATTTGCAAACTAATTTTCAGACTGACAAAGAACTATAATTGGAGGGAGGAAGGAAGAGAAAACCTACACTCTTCTCTTTTTTATTCCTGTTTAATTTTAAGAGAAAAAAGCCACTCTCTCTAAAACTTGTCAGCACAAAGGAGGTTTAAATACTGCATAAATTTGGAAATCACTCTACTTCATCTGTTTATCAATAGCAAATGAATATCAGACTTCAAAAATGACTATAGGGTCAAATCAAATGGTAACAAGAATTATGCACTGAACACAACTGGGGCAGGGACAAGAAAAATAACTGGGGGGATAATTATAGATGTCACATTCAAAAGATGGTGAAAGACATAAAAATCAAACCCTCCTTCAAATATATGTTATTTAATAAGATTAAAGGAATGAGAATGTAAAATTTGAAAATTTATGAACAAGTTTTGCTTCAGTGCAAATGTGTACTCTAAAACCAAACAAGACAACAAAAAGAAAGACAAAAATAGTCTTGTGTTCCTTAGCAGGAACAATTGCCACAGCCTTTCACACTGTTAACAATTTCTTCTTGGAGCTTCTTCCTTTCCTCTTCTTTGGAGAGCCTTTCTTTCTTTGCTCCCCATCCGAGGTTATCATTATTCTGTACACGACTGCTCTGTGTATGCCACATCTCTGAGTAGATACTGCTAGAGTTAGCAAGCAGACCATAGTGGGTACCACGTTCAGCTACCTTCCCCTAAAAAATAAACACAAGGTACATGTCAGTTAACCAGCATAATACCTAAAACTATATAGTAACTTATAATGAAAGATATTTGAAGGACCTGTATTCATTAAAACACCTCTTCTAATTCCTCATTCATAGCTCCACTGGAAAGAACTGAGGTGGGAATGCTTCTCCACTGCTGTACTACCCAGACTCAGTTAACAAAAACTATGAGATTCCCAATCCTACAGACATCATAGAACATAAAGAAATAAAGATTTACTGTTTTATTTTTCATTCTGAAAGGCATAAAAAGAAGATTAAAATTCTAAAAAGGTGATTTTTCTGTAATCAGCAAATGTTCAAATCAAAAGCTCTGTTATTTATACAGGGATTTAAAGGATTTAAAAACAATATTGTTAAATCCATGTGAATTCTGAAATAAAATTTCATGAAATAAAGAAGATTTCATGAAAATTAAGTTTACTTCTTCCAGTAGCTCTTTTTGTTAACAGTGCCTATTAAAACAACATTCATTGATTTGGCATGGACTCCAGGCTCTGATCCAGAATTATTTCCTATCTGATGGCTACTGTTAAACATGATGAGAGACAAAAAGAATTTGTCACTTTCATGGGCATTCTTATAGACAGAATTGTTCCAAATAGACACTTTCTGTAATATTAGTGAAGTCAGTCTGTGCCAACGCTCAAGTACTGGATTTGTACACATCTATGGCTATATTGCTTCTTGATTTATGGCATTATTTATGAACTTATTAAGGAAGTTGAAGAGTCAATACTCCAATCATCCCATAATTCCTCTGCTGAATTTTTCACTCTTCTAATAACACCTCCTGTATCACAAATTCTTGCTCTGATTATTTTGTTATGTCTATGCACGTATTTTATGTTGTTTACTTTATGATTACATGTTTCATGATGAATCATGTAAACACTGGGTTTATATACATATTTTTCTTACAGTTTTTTCTTCCTAGACTTAGTAACTGCCTCATTTGTTTAGTTTCATCCCATACTTGCTTTGTCTCACTTTCTACGTATTCTCTCTCATATACTATATGCAATAAGGACATATCTTTACCTGTACATAAAATCATATTCTATCTTGTCAAACAATCTGAGAATGAGCTGTACATACTGATATTATACTTCTAAATATCTCACTAGTACATACATATCTTTAAAAGTAAGAGACAATTTTACATGCCTGACATAATTATATCACACCCAAGAAATTTAGCAATGCCATGATACTCTTATCTTAACATATGCTTCATTTTCAACCTTTAGTAAATATTACAACAATACCTTTTTTTTTCCACCTAGGAGCTGAAGAAAAGCAAAATACTGATTTTAAATAGTTTTCCCTTTTCAAGAATAGTTTATTGAGTACAATGCAAAGGAGCTGCGGTCTGAGCAGTAACGAGAATACTGCCTGCATCTACACACTGCATTTCTAGCAGTGTCCTACTCTCTCTTTATGACACTGACATTTTTTAAATGTCCAAGTCTAACTTGCTTAGAGTTTTTTTTAATATAAAGACTGCCCTTCAGTTTGGATTAATCTAGTTTTTCCTGATTTTTAAGTCATGTGGGGTCAGAGATGGCTCAGCTATTAGGAGTCCTTCTTCATCTCTGAGAGAACTTGAGCTGGGTTTCCAGTACCCAGCTCATAATGGCCTGTAACTGCTGCTTCAGGGGATTCAAGACCTTCTAATGGACTCTCCTGGCACTAAACTCATGAGCACCACCTCTCTATCCCACAGACCTACACATATACACATAATTAAAAATAAAAATAAAATATTAAAAAGAGTAATATGTCTTCAATGCAGCATCATATCAGAAGGTAAGGAGGTTGGTTTGCTCCATTACTGATATGAAATTTGATCTTGTGTTAAAGGTATCTAGAAAATTTCTGTATTTAACCATCAAGTTTTATGCTCATAATAAGTAACCTATGGGTTTTACTTTCAAACCGATTGAAAAATCTGTTCCTCAATAGTCTTATCAGCCAGCGGTGATTGTTTTCTAAACACAATTATTACAATGGTGGTGGCAAAATCTGATTTTCTAAATTTATCATTCCTTCTATAGGCTGGCTGGTGGTATTCTTAAAGAAGGGCTTTTCTTTTCCTCTTGGCACTTCTTGTTTTAAAAGTATTATCATGGATGAAAAAATTAGTTTTTTATTCAGGATGTTACAACTCATTAGCACCATTATTTATTTGACTGCTCTAATTATCCCACATTTGGCCAGTGGGAGGTCAAAGTGGTTCCTGTGTCCTTGTGACATGTGTTCATTAGTTCCCCTACCCCAGATCAGCTTTTATCGAAGAAGGTTTGGGTCCTTTTAGTGAGAAATAGTAATTTAGTGTCCAAAATCTGTGTGCTGGGAATGCTCATTACTTTCAGAATTTCATTGCTCCCAGGCTTTTGCAGTAGACAGAATTAGAATACTTTCTGCATAAGGAATTTATATGGGTAATTCTGTTAAAACATAAACCTTGTGAGAGTCTTCCTATCCTCTGATGATTTTTTTACTTGCAACTTTCTTCTCCCAAGTAACATCTCTGTTCTAAGAGCAGTGTATTTACTCAGTATATGCTTCTCAGTCTTACTTACATACAGAATAATTTCAAAATGGGTACTTCCATAGAATTACCAACTCTTCCCTTTGGACTATTTATCCTTATAATACACTTGTGTATTATATAATACATGGGGAAGTTGTTAAGTAGGTAGATTAAAAGAACTATAACTTGGTGATATGATGTAATAAATATAATTATACATTTATATTTAATATCCTAATTAGTTTTTTTTTGTCAACTTGATACAAACTTGGCACATCTGGGAAGAAGGAACCTTAATTGAGAGAGTGCTTCCATAAGATTGGCTTGTAGGCAAGTCTGGAGGGTATGTACTTGATTGATTAATGTGGAAAGTCCCAGTACTGTGGGTGATGCCATCGCTGAGCAGGTAATCTTCGGGTGTGTAAGAAAGCAGGCTGAGCAAGGGAAGGGGAACAAGCCAGCAAGCAGCATCCCTCATGGCCTCTGCATCAGCTCCTGCCTTGGCTTTCCTCAAAGAAAGACTGTAACTTGTAAGCAAGTAGATTCGTCCTTCCCCCAAGTTGGTTTTGGTCAGTGTTTTTATCACAGCAACAGAGAAGAAAATTAGGACATTTAATAAGCGTATATAATTAGAATATTACATTAAAAATTACATGGATAGATTCTATTCTTTTTTGTGTGGTTGTCAATGACAGTTTTGCTTCCTGTTAGTATTCAATTTTTGTTTTTGTATCCTTGATTAATTTTTGTTTTAGTTAGTATACAAGATAAAGTGCTTCGCTGTGAAGTGTTAATACATATATATTAATCTCTTCCACATTTTTTCCTCCAACTAGTCCTTTTCAGCCCATTAAAAATAGTAATGTTAAAAAAAATAGTAATGTTCCTTCTGCTTTCATAACATGTCAATACGTTTGGGACTGTGCATACATACATACATACAAACAAACATACACACATATACATATATATTTATATGTATATGTATGTATAAACTTTTTTCAACACATAAAATAGATCAAAAGCAAAATTAATATAAACATACATATTCAGGAAGATCTTATTTGCTCATGTCTTGCAAACCATTTTCATCTCCATTCTGCAGATAGCCAACTGTTTTAGTTTCTATTTTATCCTTCTTGAATTTCTCTTCAGAATTTAAGCACATATACATATATTCTCCATCCCCATCCTTCTTGCAAAAGACGGCATACATGTTGTTTGTACGCCACTTTTTTTCATTCAATCATATATCCCAGAAACCATGCCATATGCTTCCTTTCCTTTTCTGAATAGTACCTATCATTATTTTAGAAATGTTTAATTTATCATGACTTCTAGGAATATTAAATTTTAAAATATTTATTACAGTTCTTTGTATTGTCTGTGTATTTTATTGAACCCTTTTTCATTCTGTTTGCTTTAGATATCTTCATTTATTCTCTTCTAACACTTTATTCTCTCCTAACACCAAAGAATAGAACATTAAAAAGCTAACTGGAGGCTGTGTGCATGCGAATGGCCTTCTCAATTGGCACACTTTGTGATAGGATGAACATTTGGATACCTGGCCATCTTATTGCAGCCTCAAACATTAATTGCTGTGTCTAATCTTCCATGATCAATCAGATGTCTCATAGGCATGACATCTTAACAGAAATATAAACAAATTTTGACAATGCCTGACTGAGGTGGCAGACAAACCCCCAGTTGAAAATGAGGTCATAAAATTAACCAATTAGAGGGCTAACAAAAATACCAAGAAAGTTTATGTAGCTACATATGCTATGGCCATTAATACGTTAATTGTAATTCAAAACCCATGGGGCAATGTTGTGACATTTCTGCACAGACATATGTAAATACATTATTTACTAAGAAATCTCAATATTTTCTATTATTGAATAAAAGCTCGGAGAGCATGACTGCATATAATTTGTTAAGCTTAGTTTAAAAGGTACAAAATTTCAGATTTTATTTTAGATTCTTAAATATCAAAGATATAGTAAGGTTTAAGTTACCATTTAAGATATTTTGGTTTAACCATATTGGGAAAAACAACTTATTTTCTAAAGAATGTCAACATTTAGGAACAAACTAACACATTTAAAGTCACAAACATATAAATCCCTTATAGAATAAAGGGTATAAATACCACAATAATGAATACTGTCTAAATGTTAGTGGAATGAAAAAAAAAACCTTTGTGGGCTGGGAATACAGTTCAACAGTAGAACACTTGATAGCATGTATAAGGCTCTGAGTTCAATCTGTAGTATCACAAAAAAGTCCCTCTTGATAACTCAAACTTTAGAAAGCACACAACTGCTTCCCATCTCTTAACTCTCAGTACACTGGCTTCCAAAACAATAAAAAATAGAAGTATTGATTAGAAAAGAACGATAATGACAGCAAAAGCTCTGTATGTGATATGAAAAACTGAACAGTGTTAGAAATAATCAAATGCTAAGAGGTGAGGGAAAAAGATCCTTAAAGACAGGAGTAAAGGACAATTATTAAAAATGTTCAGATCTGCCAATCACAACGATTGCTAAGAACATTTAGATAGTAAGCTTGTATAGTAATTCCCTCAAAAGTGATAAAATAGTATATTTTTACTTTACCTACAATGAAAACAAAATTAAATAGTCACTTTAAAAAATGATCATTTTTATTTTACTGTAAATTTTAAGATATTAATGATATACATATATATGTATATATATATGTATATGTATATATATATATATATAATGAAAATACAAAGACACTGTGCAAAGATCTATTCAGGGCAAAACTGAACGAAGCAAAATTATTTTATATAGACAATCATTGAAAATATGCTTCTATCTTGAAGATTTAATACTTTCCTGATCAAACATTTGCTTTTAGTACTTTAATAAAGAGTGAGTTAATATAGTTTATCCTTCTTGGAAATTTAATGCATTATTTTCTACAAAAGTGACAAAAACCAGAATACTATTAGGATTTAATTTCATCAAAAGAACACAAATTCTGCAATATTTCATTGGATACAGTAATTAAACTTTGGGTACCTATAACTATTTCTAAGATTCTTCAAATACTACCATTTTTCCTTTTATAGTTTCTATTGAATTTATTCTTTGATAAGTTCATATAGATATATAAAATTTACTGATTACTTTCACCACTGCCCTTTCTTGTCTTCATTTTACCCCTGTTAAATCTCCTCTTCCCTATAAATGTGTTTCCTACATTCATGTCTTTTTGTTTTGTAATCCACTGATTTTTACCAGGACAACCTATATGACCATTGGCTTAGAAGTATCCACTAGAGTCTGGTGGCTTCACCTTGGGTACACAAGTGAAGACAATCACAACCCTCCCCTAGAATCCATAAGCAGTTAATAGTTTCTTGGGGAAGGATATGCCCTGTGACACCCTCCTGTATTCATGACTTGACTGCTGACTGGCTCAATCTTGTGCACACCCGGTGCAGGAAGCTGCAGTTGCTGAAAGATGATGATTACAATTGCTGTGTCACGGCCAGAAAATAGCGCCTCACAGTCTTTCTCCTTTTCTTCTGGTTCTTTATCCCCCAATCCAACACCCCTGACCCATTCCTCCATGTTCCCTAAGCATTAGAGGTAGTGGCATAAATGTGCTGTTTAGGGCTGAACACTCAACTGTCAGTTATTTTCTGCATCTTCAGCAGCCATAAGTCCTTTCATTCACTGCCTATCATTGCAGAGAAAAACTTCTCTAATTAAGGCTGATAATGAATTCTCTAATGAATACTGTCTTTTAAAGTTCATTTCTTACCTGGCTCAGGACAATGATTTCATCTGCATCAACCACTGTTGACAATCTGTGTGCAATGAAAATCGAAGTTCTGTGCTTCACCACATCCCTCATGGCACTAAGAATAGCCTACAAGTTTGACAAGAGTAGGAGAAAACCAAACCAGAGCTTTCATTAGGTTAATGGAAAGTAAAACAATGCTATCTTTACTAAAGGAACTTAGGAATTCATATCAACACTAAATATTTCACCTCTAATACTAAAAGAAACAAAAGGACAAAAAAACAAAGAAAATTGGAAAGTAATCATTAGAATACTAAAATAAAAAATATCACTTAGGCAACATGTCCCTAAAACATCTGGGACAATATGATTTTAAAAAGACAAACTCTGGTGGTATGAGGAACATGGTCATCTATAATCTTATCAATAAGAAGAAAACTAAAATGAGGAAATATTCAAGTAACAGGATGCAGAGAAAATACCAAAAAAAAAAAAAAACTCAAAGAAAGGAGTCTGAAAGCCTGCAGGAACATTTGTTTTTCCTTAGTTCAAAGGCAAAACACATCCAAGAACTTTTTACTTGAGGCAGTCTTTTTTTTTTCCAAAAGCATTTTGAGTTCTTGTTTGTTGTTTTGAGATAGGGTCTCAGTATGTAGCTTTGGTTGCTACAAGACTTACTATGTAGATCCAAATGGCCTTACACTGATAGAATTAAAGGTGTGCCTTTTCACATTTTGAGTTCTTAATACATTCTAGAAAACAGATTTTGTTTACTGCCTATAAACTGTAAGACAGTTACATGTGTAATTCAATTATCTATAGAAGTTGTTGGCTAGAGAAACAGTGTGGGTAATAGGGATATGCTCACTGGCTTCCCACAGGTATTTCTAAACATTTCATATTTTAAAAGCATAAATTACAGGGAACATACAGTTTTCTGAAAAGGAGACCTTATGTTTTTACTAGGACAGACTAATGATCAACCTTATGTTTGTAGAGAGTCTCTCTCCTTTCTTACCTATAAAAGCTCAAATTCAGACTTCCCTTTACCTATTAAAAGGACTCACTGAAATTTATCAAAACTTCTTCTTCTGAGGAATTCCTTGTAAATGCTGAATGGGATATATTCTCTAACATAATTATATTATGTGACTCAAAAGCTGCTGTTATAAATTTTATCCTGTTAGCTTATAACTTGTACAACATATAATTAGGCATGAAGTTCTCATAAATAGGTTGCTATTCTCTTGTGAATGTGATCTAGTCCTGTTCAATATTCATTCAAAATGTAATTCTCAAATGAATCTACTTTGAACTGTTTTAAATATGTTGCTAATAAAATAATAATGTTCCCTCAAATTTAATTCCACATGTAAATATTACATCACATTGCCTGTAAAGCTGAAAGAAGACCTCTAAGTTAACATTAGGTTCCTACCACATACTCAGTGAAAAGTAGCAAACTGCAACATTTGCCTAGCTTTAGTTCAAGACTAACCTACAAGAAATTACCATTGTTGCTGAAACTTTTGGATGTAATGTAAAGATGTTATGAGACACAATGTACTAGTTGGGGTAGTATCATGGCATCACTGTCACAAAAGTTTTGCTGTTACATAACACTTTTGTGAACTGAAACAAATGGTACTATTCTAAGGGTTGGATGGCCTGACTTGCACTTCAATAGTAAGTGAAAGGCATTCTGGTTAGACTGTGTCAGAGTCACTTACATGACTTCTATTAAGGAGTGCTAAACAATAAGATAGTTACTAAAACTTTCTTCCCTCACTAGCATGTCAGGTAATATGTACAGCTTTGCAAGATACAGGAGCGATACAGTAATAGCATAGCGTATCATACACTTCCAAAAGGAAGCACATTTGTAACAATGTATTATCTGGTTCAATGCAACCTGGCTTTTGTAGAATTTACTAACACTTGCCATATAAAAAGACGGGGTTGGCTATTTTACTTTATAATATCTCCCACTGAAATACATTCAAAACACTAAGTCAGTGGTTCTCAACCTGTAAGTTGCAGCCCCTTTGGAGGTCAAATGATCCCTTCACAGGGTCACATATCAGACTTCTTGTGTAACAGGTACACATATATTACAATTCATAAAAGTAGCCAAATTATGAAGTAGCAACAGAAATAATTTTATGGTTGGGGGTCACCACAACATGAGGGTATTAAGGGTCACATTAGGAAAGTTGAGAACCACTGTTCTAAGTAATGCAGACATTGCACTGAAGATTCCAAGGAAAAAAGTTTATTTTGTTATTTTCATTGTCATTTACCTCTTCAGTTATTGAGTCTAATGATGAAGTAGCTTCATCATAGAGAATAACTGGGGGGTCCTTCAAAATGGCTCTTGCAATTGCTACTCTCTGTTTTTCTCCTCCTGAAAAAGAATATTTTCATTTAAGGAAACACAATACAGGAATATTCTGTTTCTAGTATTCCTGTTGATTATAACCATCAAATTATACCTGTAACATTTACCTAAATTCTTTATCACTTGCCACATAACTGAATTGTTCAGTCTATGTCTATATATGGTATCCTGTGACAAACGATATTTCCTGGAATACAAATTCAATCTTAATGAATCTCTGATTCATGTCAGTGAAATGAATAAAAATGAGAAGTAACAACTTTGATTTTTTCAATTGTTCTTACCAAAAGCATGTTTATCATATATGTTACTTTCTATTATGGATATTTCAATATGCAAAACCCTTAGATAAAAAATTCATTAGCCACTCGGGAGGCAGAGGCAGGCGGATCTCTGTGAGTTCGAGACCAGCCTGGTCTACAAGAGCTAGTTCCAGGACAGGCTCCAAAACCACAGAGAAACCCTGTCTCGAAAAACCAAAAAAAAAAAAAATCATTAGCAATGAATCAACAAATCAAAGGACAAACCCAATATCTGAAACTAGAAAACTTAAAGACATGAAACCATGAATACCTAATTTATGACTTAACATAAAAGGTCCCAATCTGCTAATATTTAAGTATGTTTTGAGATAAGCTGTTATTTAATAGCATTTTTCAAAGTAAGAGTATATACCAAATACATTTTACCTTCTCTTAACTACAAGGGCAAGTTATATAAACTTTTATAAGGTACACTTAAATGATAAACATATATTACTAAGCTATGATCAAATAATAACCACAAACAAAGTTAACTAGAAAATCTTTGCTTAAAATATTCTTAACTTAAATAAAAAATTTCTAATAGACCACACATTGCTTGACAGCAGGCCCATTTAGCGATACATAATTTGGCATAGGAGCCATGCAGTGTATACTTAATAAATTTTGTAAATAAATAAATTATTCAAAAATCCAGCCATTTTAAAGTTATGATTAAATATACCATCTCATGATTAAACATTTGCAGAGAAACATATAAAAACCTCAAAATTTCTTTCACCAGTGAGCTAACTAAGAAAGATAAGAAAATGAACAGGACAAGAGTAAGGATGTTTAGACATCTAAACCTCACCTAGGAAATAAGATGAGAGATACACTATTCAGTACTAAACTAATTAACTGTACTTTTACTATATTCCAAGTGAGTAAGTCTTGGCTTTCCTTAAAGGTTGTGGATTATACATTAACACTGATATATATGAGATTCCATCAATAATATAAAAAGTCCCAACAAATTGGTTTGAGGAGAATATAAAAGTAGAAGCTTTAAAATCTTTGCTCACCTGATAGTTTGAGTCCTCGTTCCCCGACTTGTGTGTCATATCCATGTGGCATTCGAAGAATTGCATCATGAAGACCAGCTAATTTTGCTACTGCATATACTTCCTCTGGTGAAGCACTGATGTTTCCATATAAAAGGTTGTAGTAGATAGTGTTATGGAAGAGGACAGCATCCTGAAGCAGATTTGTATAGACACCCGTTGTATATGTGTTCATTACACAAATTTATATAAATTTTAAAAAGTATAAAGACATAAAGTAATTGTAAATAGCAAACCACAACAATCCATTTTACTAGACCTGCAGTCTCAGGTCTCTTTCTGGAGCTAATTACCATGTATAATTTGTTATGTTCATTCCAGACTTATTTTGAGACATTTATATGCTTAACCATATGCTTTTTTTTCCAATACAAGGGAACCCAAATTACACATACTACATTGTAAATTGCTTTTTCTATTTAACATATACTGGAGATTTTCCATTCTAGATAATAGAAATATACTTCATTCTTTTAATCGCTATATATTTCCTACTATAGATAAAAATTACTTATTCCCCCATTAATGTCTATTAATGTGGTTAACATGTTGGGATAAAAGCATTATAAAAACGGCTTTACACACTTAAGTATTTATGCAAGAATTCCGGAATCCTAGATGTTAACTGATAGGTCAAAAGTGAAGTTTATATTTATTTTGTAATGTTATTGCTCAGCTGTCCTACAAAAACAGCAGCTAGTAATATATGAGCATGTTCTACTAAATGGCATGTAAGGTTTCTAGATCTCCATAGCTTTAGCAACCCTGGTACTCATTTTCACTTATGATTTTAGAGTGAAATGTACTTTTTGTTTACATTAGAATTTCCTTAATTACTGATGAGGTTAGATATATTTCCCTGTATTTATAAGAAGCTTTTACTTTGGCCTTGAAACTCAGCAAATAAAGAATTTGTGCATCATGTGTGTACTTACTAGAGGAAGTTCAGTGCAAGCTGTCATTTGATAATTCGCCTTGTTTTGACATGGCATACTAAAGCTAATTTATTTCAAATGAGCATTTATCTCCTATTCTTTTTTCAGTCTCTGAATGGTTGAGAGCAAGGTGAAATAAAATAGCTCTAATTGTTAATATTCACCAGGAGACCCAGTAAAGGTCTTCTTTTACAGGATTTTCAGGTTGAGAATTTCAGATATTATTTCAAGTAATATTCTGATCATTTATATATCCACGACTAACATAAATTTCTCATACTAAATGTACCAAATAAGCTCAAAGTCCTACACACAGAACTATTTTTATAGTACTTTATATTCAGAAAAAATTAATAAATACTAACCGAAAAACAGAAAAATATAACCAAAAAATGGATAAAATAAAAATTAACTAAACATGTGTAGTGATTCACCCTTGTAATCCCAACACTTGGGGTCAGAAGTAGGAGCACCATGAGTTTGATACTAGCCTGCAGTACAGAGTAAGACCCTATTTCCCAAAACAAAACACGAACTATTTTCATGATTTTTGCTAAATACTCTTGTCACACACTAAATATGAGTAATTATGTGAAATAATGCAATTGTTAATTTAGTTTAAATAACCACAGAACTATCTGTAGGTATGACATAACATGGCATGCACCAGACACATAGACACACACACACACACACACACACACACACACACACACACAAAGTTCACAAATTTAAGAAACTAAATAATGTATTAACTTTATCGTCTAGAAAAACACATTAATGCCTTGGTGTCTATTCCATTTTTTTCTCTAATTGCAAGTATTAATCTATGTTGTACAGCCAGAATATTTTGTTTGATATCCTTTATAGCAGGCTTTCTTGGACCGCCAGCTCCCAAATAAAAAGGCGAGTCTTAATATTAGTTATGAATGCTTTGCCTTACCTTATGCTTGTCCCAGTAGCTCTTATATCTCAATTTAACCTGCTTTTCTTCATCTGTGTTTTGCCTTAGGGCTTTTCACCTTTCTTTCATTCTGTATGTCCTACTTTCACTGCCTGGCTGGTTGGTCTTGAGTGCTTCTCTCTCTTTCTCCCTAGTTCTCTCCTCTTAAGACTAGATTCCGCCTCCTAATTATTCTCTCTGCCTGCCAACCCTGCCTAACACTGTACTGCCTATCTATTGGCCATTCAGATTTTTATCAGACCACTCAAGTGCCTTAGGCAGGCAAAACAGAACATCGTTACATGTTACAAATGCAGGATAAACAAATGTAACACATCTTTACATAATTAAACAAATACAGCATAAACAAATGCAACACATCTTTGCTGTGGGATAGTGGATTTGTACTTTGTAAAGATTTGTCACTTGTATTTAATAAAATGCTGATTGGTCAGTAGCCAGGCAGGAAGTAGAGGTGGAGTAACAAGAACAGTAGAATTCTGGGAAGAGGAAAGCTCAGTCTGCAACTTTCACCCAGATGCAGAGGAAGCAAGATGTGACTGCCTTGATAACAGGTACCAAGCCAAATGGCTCACAGACAAGAATTATGGGCTAATATAAGTTATAAGAGTTAATAAGAAGCCTGAGCTAATAGGTCAACCAGTTTATGATTAATGTAGAACTCTGTGTGTTTCTTTGGGACTGAATGGCTGCAGGACCAGGAAAAACAGAAACTTCTGTCAACACAACACACCTTCACATATTTAAAGTAATAGTTTGCAACATTAAACTGATCTAATATTTCTTTACATAGTCGTATTGACTGTTCATGATACTCAATATTCTTTAAAACTTTAATGCTGAGCTGGAGAAATTTCTCATTGGTTAAGAGCACTGGCTGCTCTTCCAGAGAATCTGGGTTCAGTTCCCAGTACACATTCACATTCATCTGTAACCTCAGATTCAAGAAATTCAAATCTCTCTTCTGGTCTCTTCAAGCACCAGGATGCATGGGGTACAAAAACTGACTAAATGCAGGCAAAATATCTATATTTGTTCAACAAACCAATCATAATATAATTTGATAAAACTTAATGACTACATGGCACTTGAAACTATAATACTTCAAACATTCAGTTATCACTGAATATTTATATGGTATCCACCTTGGACAATTATAAATAACGCTGTAGATAACATTGTATTAAAGACCCATGTTTGTATCTTTTAATTTCTTACTAAAATTTCCTAGGGTCAGAGTTATTAGAATACTTTTGCAGAACTTTATATGTATTGTTAATTTTCTTATGATGAAAGCCATATTCTTTCATGAGCAAAACAATGCTGCCCATGTTACAGAATTATATCTAAATTAGATATTCTGGTTTTCAAAATCTTTATCTGTTGTGGAATATTAGTTAAAGATGAGTTACATTCTTTTATACTGTGTAATATTTATTTAATGATACAAAGATGTGTTGCATTCTTTTATGTTGCATTTGTTTAACTCTATGAAGCTGTTACTTGCTTGCCTAAAACATCTGATTGGTCTAATAAATAGTTGAACAGCCAATAACTAGGCAGAAGAGGGACATGTGGAGCTGCCAGTCAGAGAAAATAAATAGGAGAAAAAGAAGAAAGGGAGGAGTAGTAAGAAAAGGAGAAGGAGAGGAGGATGTTTGGGGTCAGTTACCCAGCTACACATCCAGCAATGGAATAAGAAGGAAATAAAAGATATACAAAAATAAAGGTAAAAGCCCAGAGGCAAAATGTAGATGGGATAATTTAAGGAAAACTGGCTAGAAACAAGCCAAGCTAAGGCCAGGCATTCATAAGAAGTCTCTGTGTGATTATTTGGGAGCTGACTGGAGGGCCCCCAAAGAGAAATGAATAAAAAGAAAGAACTTCATTTATCAGTCTATTAGGTGAAAGTGTTATTTCATTTTCACCAAATTTTGTATTACTAATGTCTCCAATAAGAATAAATTGCTTTTCCTCTTTTGTGAATTTAAGGTTTTATTTTTCAAAAGGATGCGTGAAATCATTATATAGCCCCCCAAAATGGCAGAAATAAGACATATGAATTAGAACACTTGACCAAATGAAGTCACGGTCCAGAATGCAGTTCACTTGGCAAACAGTATAGGTTACTGTTTCTTAACACAAAGTCAGTCTTAAAGTATCTATCAGAATCATCTAAGATGCATATTAAAAATATAGATTTCTGGGCTCACAATGTACTCCACAATCAGAAGCCGAGCATGTGAAAAAAGAAATGGAATTTCTACAATCTTTCTAGTTGACTCATACGACTAAAATTTGTGATTTTTAGCAAAAGATGGGATAGAAAGGAGTGCCATATGCTGGAGCACTTGGGGACCTTTTACAGTTGGCATACCCCTGTCAGATCACTCTTTTTGTTTTAGTTTTTAAAAGATAGAATCTTACTCTGTAGTCCAGAGCTGGCTGGAATGCATTATGTCCCAGGCTGCCTCAATCTTAAGTCAATTACTCTATCATAGCCTCCCAAATGCTGTGATAACCATTTCCTTCCTGGTGACTTTCTTATAGGTTTTCTCCTCTCCCTTCCCCATATGATCTGTTCTCCCAGAGATCTGATACTTGGTTTCATAAATCAACTTTACCAGTGGACATCAGACAAGTACTCTAGCATTCAGGTACAGCTTCAAACTCCTTTATAGACTTTTAAGATAAAACTATATACACTGTAAGACTATCTACTTCTTGTTTTCTCAGGCTTTACTTTGAATTTTCTTCTCTGTTTCAATGTCACTCACCAAATATTTTTAAATGATTATTATCAGTCAAGCACTGTATGCCTGATAATAAAGTAGACCAGTAGCAAATAAGGCATAAAACTTGAGGTTGGTAGATAAATTACATTGTAATTATAGATTTAATTTGTTAAAAGATATTCAAAAGTATTAGTTTTAATTTTCTGAACATTTATATTGTGGGTATTGTATCTGGTAAATATATATGTGTGTATCCTCTATAATAACTATTTCTTATAAATATTATCTTTATTTTAGAAATGAGGAAAGTGAGACTAGTGCCATAGAACTGATTAGTCTTAGAGCTATGGTTAGAAACGATGTCTGGTTGATTGAGGACAATCTGGTTTACATGGTGAATTCCATGCCAGTCAGAAGTACATGGTGAGGTGCTGTCTCAAAACACAATTCCTTTTGGTAGTAGAATTTCACTTGAACAGTTTAACATTATCCACTTCATTAGCATATGCTGGTTCCTTGGATTCAAATTATTATAGTAATATATCCACCAACCCTCTAACAATTACATTTTTGTTTTAAAATACCTGAGGTACTACTCCCACTGCCCTCCGAAGACTTTCCAGGCTCACATCTTGTATATTTTGACCAGCAAGATAAATGCTACCCTCCTGAGGTTCATAGAAGCGAAACAGCAGCCTCACTATTGTGCTCTTTCTGAAATTGGAGATGAAGAAAGGCTAATCAGCATCTGTAGTCATTAGGGAAGCTCAATTTAAGTATAGTAATTATTTCACAATGATAAAAAATTCACATCCACAATTATCAGACAATAATGTAGAATTTTATAAAAAACTAAATTACTCACCCTGACCCACTACCTCCTACAATGGCCACTTTCTTTCCTGCAGGGACTTCAAAAGATACTCCACTAAGGACTTTCTGTCCTTCAATATATCCAAAATGCACATTATCAAAGGCCACTGTGGCTGTCTGTGGTGTTATTTGAAGGGGAGACGCCATTACTTTGTCCTAGAAGGGAAGAAAAAAGAAAAACAACAAACTACTTATACTACTCTTTAGACAATGTTTTTAATTAACGGGGAGAGCAAGAAAAATATGGGAAAGGAGGTTTATGCAAATGGAATAAGGTCACTTCCAAGTATGATTTTTTTCATTACTCACTGCACAAAAATGAGCAGATAAGAAATTCCTATATATGCCAGATGCTGGGAAGACTCACTCTATCCATTCATCCATGTATGTATGTATGTATGTATCTATCTATCTATCTATCTATCTGTCTATCTATCTATCTATCTTGTTTTTTTCACGACAGGTTTCTCTGTATAACAACAGCTCTGGCTGTCCTAGAATTTGCTTTGTAGATCAGACTGGTCTTGAACTCACAAAGATCTGCCTGCCTCTGTGTACCAAGTACTGAAGTGCTGGGATTAAAGGTGTGTGCAATCACTGCACAGGAAAGATTTTCTTGGTGAGGAGTTGGGGAAGAGATGACAATGAGGAAATTGTTTGTCTAACCTACTGATGTAAGAATATTCTCCTAGAACTGTGGTTCTTAACCTTCCTAATACAACCATGTTGTGCTGAGCCCCAACCATAAATTATTTTTGTTCCTACTTCATAACCATAATTTTGCTATTGTTTATGAATTGTAGTGTTAATAAGTGATATGCAGGATATCTGATATGTGACCTCTGTCACAGGTTATAAGTCACAAGTTGAGAACCACTGTCCTGGAGCAACCCAGTATTAGTGAGACAGTACTCTATGATCTTCTGAAAAAGCTACTATACACATTACTTACTTTAATCCGCGTGTCTACCTTGAGCAGAGTAAACAAAGTGTTCATATCTATGAGTGCTTGTCTTGTCTCTCTATATACAGTTCCCAGGAAGTTAAGGGGTAATGAAAGTTGAAAAAGCAGTCCATTCACCATTACTAGATCTCCGACGGTAAGGGCACCTTATTATGCAGTTGGAAAAAGAAAAGGTATAAGCTCTCTAGCTTAAGAAAGAGTTTTAAAGCCAATTTCTGTGACACATAGTTCTAAATGTACATAATCAGCAACATTTAAGCTGACACAAGTTATAGAGCATATGAATGCATGAATTAGGCAATGTAAGAACCTGGTGTATATTGCATGGAGAGGGAAAAGCATACCTAACACACTGTGTAATATATGAAAAAGAATGATTTAAGTAATGACAGAATAAGAAGGTTAAAAATATTTCCTTTTTCCTCTAAGGCATAAGCAAAGATTTCTTGTATAGTATTTAAAAAGAAAACTCATAAAAGTACATATATTAAAATTGGAGTGAATGGCTATCATGACAAAAAAAGATGATGCATCTCATATTATAAAGACTAGGCACAGACATTACTTGTAAATGAAAAAAACCAGTAGAAAAAGCTACTGAATTATAAAACAAGACCTTTAAACTAAACAGTAAAATAATAACATTGTTTTCCAGGTTTATAAGAAAATTAAAGATACCAGATACTAAAAAGGTTGATATCTCAAATTAATAAAAGCATTATTATTTTTTTAAAAAGGTATCATCAAGTAAACATTTTACATGGTTGATTTTTAAAACAAATTCTCCTAAAGAATCGCATTATAGAACCATAAAATGAATAAGCAGTATTTTCATTCAATAAGTAAGTCAGTGTTAATAAAAAGGAAGTAAAAGAATTATCAATCAAGAAAATACATTCTGATGGGAAAAGAAAAACACTCTGAAAATGTCAAAGTGCTTTACTGAGCACACTTTACAACTAATACAAAACACTTATTTCTTCCATTAACCCATTTATAATAGTCTCTAAATGTGATAACCATCAATCTATTACCTGCCATGATTCCGTGACTGGCAAGCACCATTATAGCTGTTAATCCAACACTGAAAATAGCACTTTGGCCAAAGTTCAGCATAGCCAGAGTAGAGGTACTTTTCAATGAAGCAGTCTCGTATGTCTTCAAAAATCTGTCATATCTCTGTGCTTCATATTTTTCATTATTAAAATACTATAAATATATAAAAATAGAAACTATGGGCAAATTCGAATATATACTCTTCTATGCAATTGGTGTAAGTTTTATCATACTTAAATATAGATATACTTTGGTATTGAAGATCCTATTATAAAATAAAATTCAACTTTGAAGAAAAAAATGGGTCAGAGGAATAGGAAGGGAATAAGAAGGGATAATGGGAAGGGGACAGGAAAGGATAATGGGGGGGAATATAATCATAATACATTATATACGTGTATGAAACTGTCAAACATAAAAATATTGACTTTCAATATATTAGATTATGGTATTCCTGAAGGTTTTCAAGTAATGGATTATATTCAAAATTCATACAACAAACATTTCTTAACTAGTTAATAAATTTGAACCTAGACTTGATTTAAACATGCCTTCTAGGAGTGACACTTCCTTCACAAAGCCTTAACCTGAGGCCTTAAATTCCACCTGCCCTCACCATATCATGACTTTTTGAATAGTCATTTGAATACTTCCTTTAATTTTCTAGCAGATTATAAAATTATGAGAAGTCAAGGGGGACATTGTAATCTTTTTTACCATCTTCTCCTATCATAGCCTAGTGCTTAGTACAGTGCTTTGCATATAAGAGCAATTCAGTAATTATTAAGTGAATAAATGCAAAAATGAATGAAAAATTTAAGGACAAGCATGATGCTAGGCATTATGAAGGATAAAAAGAGGATCAAGAACTTGCATGTCAACTTAATTAGCTAATATTCATTTGTAATCAAGATGCTAATCATATATTTATGATCACTTACAAACTCAGAAGGCAAAATTCTGATATTTCCAAATAAAAATCAAAGAGAAAAGAACATTTCTAAACAAAAGAAAAATGAAGGAGTATTATTTCATCACACCTAGAGATCCTATCCTAATCTGATATTCTTACAGTGCCCATTAAATTAAATGCAGAACAAATCCTAGTGTGAAAGGCAGCCGAAAAGACACTTAGACAGATTACCTTCACAGTTTCATAATTCAGCAGTGAGTCAATAGCAGCGTTACCTGCGTCATTATCTGCTTTGTTCATTTCAATTCTAAATTTAGTTCTGTAAGACAAAGATTTACACAGCCTGAAACATATGCTATACCATAACTAATTTCTGCAGCCTTAACTGGCCTCTGGGAAATACCATACCTCCACCGTGTAACCGCAACTGTGAATGCTGTATATGCACCAAGTGTTCCTAGGGTTACCAATGCAAACTGGGCACCACATTTGTAATACTGGAAAAAGAAGTCAAGAGAAGTGAAAAGTGATTGAATTGTCTCTGGCTTTCATCATTTACAATAGGAAAAGTGAGAGATCCTGGCAATATTCTCTATTATGTACAATAAAATTGAATAAAATAGAAATTTTTAAAATGGAAAAATAATTAGTTTAGTAAAAGGTGATTACATTTTGAATCAAAATTGTAACTGCATATAGCAGTTCATAGTCTAAATTTTAATATAAAACTTGGCAAAACAGAAAGCTTATAGAGAATATTATTTTCTTTGAAAGTATTATTTAAGATACTATGCACTTCAAATAAATAAGAAATATTCCTTATTTTAGAATTATTGTTTTAAAAACAGTACAATGAAACAAAATTTAAAAAAGAAAGTAATTACTGTTCTTGTCGCTTTATAGCATCACAACAGCAAACTTCAGTCAAAGGATACTTATAAAAACTATGATGCTGAGAAGTTACATTAATCAATAATGGATTAAAAATCAAATATCTTAAACAATCTACTCAAGGTAACAAGGAAAGAAAGTCAAATTGCACCTGTCACAATTATACCATCAAATTCTAACATTGAAACTGTGTAAGCCTAAAGAGGAATTAATTTAAAGTTTACAATGTTATAATGTGTTAGGATTGATAAACAAATCTAAATATTTTGATCACACAATCCAATGTGTGACATACAAAATTCTTGAAAAAAAAACATTAGAAGCACTAATCAATGATCTAGGTGTCTAAAAAATAATACATAATTTGGAAAGTCCTTTGACACCTGTGGCAAAATAATGAAACAAACAGAAAATGTTTCTGGCATCAAGGTATGCAAGAGCATAAAACAGCTTCAACTATTTATTTGCTCTTAGTAAGATTGAAAGATAAAAGGTTACTATGAAAAAACGCATTACTTACCAGAACACTACTGACAAGCGTCATCTCAAACACGATAGGGAGAAGATTAAACACTAAAGCACTGAGGACAAAACTAATACCCCTTGTTCCTCTGTCAATAGCCTTAGATAAAGCTCCTGTCTGTCTGCTCAAATGGAAACCCAGATCCAAGTTGTGAAGATGGAGAAATACATTTTTGGCTATTCTTCGGATTGAATTTTGGGCTACTTTTCCAAATACTGCATTGCGAACTTCATTGAAAAAGGCAGCTCCAGCTCTTGATACACCATCTAACAAAACAAAAGAAAAAAAGTAGGAGGGGGTATAGAAACATTAGAATTGGAGCAGTGTAAGTGGCAAGGCTGCACGAAATCTTTATACGATGAATAATTCATCCAATACATATAACACAGAATATTTACACTAAAAGAAGCATAGAACTCATCTACTCTAATGAGTATTAACCTTTCCATCATCATAAATCCCTTTCAGTGTTATTTGACCCTAGATTTCAGATGCTGAAAAAAATTCCAATTAAAATACTTTTAATATAGAATAGCCCAGATGGCCTCATTGTGGATAAGTGTACAATATCTTAATTCAATTCTCTCATATAACAAATGCAAAAGGCTTAGATCCTGAAGAGTCAAGTGCTTTTAGCAAACTCCTATTTCTGTCTCTAAAGTGTTAAACAGCCCTTTCAAATGTACAGCTCCCCACTTCATTTGAAAAAACATTCTATTATTTTCTAATTGCATTTGTATGTCATGGTTACTCAATATATTTTAACAAAGCACTAATGTTCATATATCATTAATTATCCACTTCTATTTAATATTAACAGTAAGAAAATAACTGGCCTTTCTAGAAAGATAACTTATAAAAAAGCCTAGTGAAGGTAGTGGTAATACAATTAATGTCTTATTTTATATTATTCTTTTTTAAACATGGAAAATGCTACTGTCACAGAAGTTTTGCAAAGCATATCATAGAAAGAATTTTCAAAAACAGATCAAAACAAATCTCACATAAAATAATAAAAATCCAAAATGCTAAGTTGTATTTGTGGTGAAAAGGTCATCTGCTCAAATATGATGAACCTTCTTGAAGAAAGTCAACACCTGTAGACAGATTAAAGAATCACACATACAGCCAATCAGAACTGCTGTTGCCATGGTTGCAACTGTATTTGGTGCATCACTCAGGTTCAGCATGTTTCCCGACATCTGGTTGAGGCTGTCTACAGCATATTTAAACATGAAAGGAACCACAATATTCATGGCCTAAAAATATAAAAACATCAATTACCCACCATACACAAAACATTTATTATAAAAGTACAAATATTTTCCTTAAATTATTATTTGTGGTAATGTTTACTGGACACATTTACTGGAATTGAAATGATTTTTGAAATTTACAAAGATAAAAATCTTTGGCACTAGAAGCTGTGCTATTTTAAGATTTTTACACCACACTGCCATGTTAATATTAATTTACAAACTACGCGAATTAGTCAAATGCTCCTGCGTCCACAAAAGCATTCTTTATCAGCTGCTAAAAATGTTTTCTATAATCTGAAATCCTACAGAACTCATGGCACTTAGCAGTAAACTGTCTTGCATTATAGTTATCTGTGTATATATATTTTCCTTTCCTTTTATAGTCTTGAGGGTCTACATTATATCAGTCTTTTTCATCCTACTGCAATAGAGTATAATATTTAGTATATAGGTAATAAATACTTTAAAGTTATTTTTCACTAATGTAAAGTTGAAATTATATAGCAAAAAGGATCATAAAAGCTGAAAAGTGACAAGAATGATTTACTATTGGGGAAAGATTACCACTGATAGATATGTTTAGCCCACAACAGTCTTTGTTCTAATATCATTCAAAAGAAAATCAAACATTAAATGCCTTCATTTGTCCTATATTTCTTTTATACTATCCTAAAACAATTCTAATACAGAAAGCAGCACTTATGTTCAGGAAATTTGCAGACTACCAAAGGACTTTTGAAAAGATTAAATTACAGACTTAAAAACAAATGCAAACAATGAACAAGGACTATGAAACACACTGAAAAGACAGCACCTGCCCTATTGCCACGATACCCTCTTGACAATGGGGATGTTCTATCAGGAACTCACCAAGGCCAGCTGGCCTGGGTCTGAAAAAGCCTGGGATAAAACCGGACTCGCTGAACATAGTGGACAATGAGGACTACTGAGAACTCAAGAACAATGGCAATGGGTTTTTGATCCTACTGCACGTACTGGCTTTGTGGGAGCCTAGGCAGTTTGGATGCTCACCTTACTAGACCTGGATGGAGGTGGGTGGTCCTTGGACTTCCCACAGGGCAGGGAACCCTGATTGATCTTTGGGCTGACTAGGGAGGGGGACTTGATGGGGGAGGGGGAGGGAAATGGAAGGCAGTGGTGGGGAGGAGGCAGAAATCTTTAATAAATAAATAAATAAAACAAAAAACAAAACAAAAAAAAGAATTAACTATTTTTAAGCTATGTAAATCTTACCAAACAAGATCTCAATTAACTGTGATAACATTAAAAAATAACATTAAAATATAAACAGCTTCCTGCAAAATTCAAGATGTCGAAGGGGAGGGGAGAAGCAGGGAGGGGCGCAAAGGAAAATGTATAGCTCAATAAAAATCAATAAGAATATATAAACATCTGGTAGAATATGCTTTTAAGAATGTAGAACGATGGTATGGTGCTGTGCTCATATTTTTAAGGTTTCTAACCTTTCACACTTCCCCACTATCTTTTCACTTTCTAAAGCTCAATCTGATTCTGTTATTCGTAATACTTTTAGAAACTTGCAGCAATTTGACCACATTTTCTAACACCCATTTTAATAGACTATATTTCAATATTATCACTCTCATGATACACTTATTAACTTTGTGCATGATCTAGTCAATATTTGAGGAAAGGCAGATACCACAAAGTTTAATGATATGAATGATAAGCAAAAGAGGGGAGATTAAAATTGAAGCCTGGTACTTGAAGTCAGTAAAATTTCCAGTATGCCACAGCTGTATCAGCAACTTACAAGGCAGAACCCATATATTTTATTTCTTTTGTACCCTAAAATGAATGTTTTCGAATGCACTATTGCAGACATTTACACTTATAAATTATAACTTGGGCAATTTAAATAAATTTGAGATGATTCTAGATTTCCCATATAATGAGGTCAAATTTCTTATTCTGCATTCCAATACATTTTCTTCAGTAGAAAGAAAAGTGATAGTTAAAACAACCACATGATTCTCCTAATTCACAGCTTATTATACCGTTGCCACAATGATGGTGAGTAATGACAGAATTCAGCATATTAAAGTTGTACTATTTTACTTTCTTAAAAATGTTTTTGGGTTTGGTCAGTTTGGGGAGCATTCCGTTAAGTATGCAGAACACATTAATGTCATCTGCCCTGTGTTGTTATTAGCAGAAGAAACATAGCTAAGAATAAGCACTAACACTAAATATAAGTGAAGATTGGCAGTTTTCTCATAAAAATACTTTCAAGAAGCAAAGAAATACGTGTACTTAAAAATGACAGAAAGATATTAATAAAGTAGGAGAGCTTATCTGCCATGTAGATCTTTCATTTTGTCTGGGTTTTCTGGCCTTATGATACAGTGGGGATGAGGTGTGGCAAATGCCTTTCCAAATTATTCTACCTTAAGGACAACTAGACTTAAACCATCTAGACAAATGCGAGCCATTAATTGAAAACTTTGATTTAAGACAGTTGTATCATCACAGGAAGAGCATCTACAGGGACTGTGATCTACCTACCCTTCAAACAGCAACTCTTATGATATTTAATATACCTACAGTTCTGTGTAAAAACCAGGCAGTTAACATTGGTGCATTACTATCAAAGAAAATAGAGAACTCATTCTGTTTTCAACATATGTAATCTGAATTCATGCCTGTGTGAATATTATTATGTATGTGTTTCCAAGCATTTTATCTCATATCTAGATTCAAATAAGCACCATCACAATCAAGATCCCTTGTCGTGTGGAGGTTGTACACACCTTTAATCCCAGCACTTAGGAGGCAGGAGGATCTCTGTGAGTTTGAGGCCAGCCTGGTCTAAAAGGACAGTCTCCAAAGCTACAGAAAAACCCTGTCTCAAAAACCACAACAAAAGATCCATAATTACTCAAACATCCTCCAAACTTGTGTTTCATTGAATGTACTCTCTTCCCATCCTGTTTGAAAACTCAATTTAATAAAAGATAAATATAGAAAAGAACTCAAGTTAAAATGAAATGAATTGAAAAACTCAATAACAGTTAAAAAAACACTTGGGGGAGTCTCACAAGTAGAAAAAATCAAGTAGAAGATAAAATATCAGAACATAAAGTAGAAAAATTAGATCATATATACAATACGCACTTCATACTATATTATAGAGTGATAGTGATAAAAGCAGCCATGTGGATCAATGGAACAGTACAGAAAATCTAGAAATAAACCAACACATCTAAGGGCACCTAAAATTTAACAATGGTTTCAAAAACATAGTGTAAAAAAGAGAGCCTATTCAACAAATGGTACTGGCAAAACTGGATATATAGTTATAGCTCCCACCCTGTATACAAATAATTAAAAATGGATTACAAAGAACAAGGTATGGTGGCATAAGCCTATAATCCCAGCACTTGTAAGGCAGAGGCAGGTGGATCTTTGTGAGCTGAAATCCAGTCTGGTCTACAGAATGAATTCCAGGACAGCCAGGGCTATGTAGAGAGATCCTTTCTCAAAACAAACACAAAGTAATTCAAAGACCTTAATAAAAAACTTGAAACACTGAAACTAGTAGAGGGAAAACACTTCAAAATAAGGCAGACAGAAAAACTTTCTGAACAGAAAATCATTACAAGTATTGACAAATGAGATTGCATGGAATTACAATTTCTACACTGCAGAAGAAACTTTGAGAAGAGTAAACAACTTACAGAATTGGAGACAATCTTTTCTAGTTACACTCCAGACAGGAAGTTAATATCTAGAATATATCATATATCAATAACTACAAAACTAACACACACAGTAATCCAAACTACCAATTAATAAGAGATTAATGAATGGTTCTCAAAAGATACTTCAGACAGTTTAGTATCTAAAGTATAAGTTGCAAAAATTACACAGCAACACACGAACCAAAGTACAATCAATAAATGAGTTAATGAAATAATCAGACAGTTCTCAAGATGAGGGATACGATGAACAATAAACATATTAAGAAGTGATTGACATCCATAGTTATCTGAGAAATGCAAATTAAATAAATCTATGTTGAGATTGAATCTCATTCCAGTCAGAATGGATATCAACAAGAAAATAAATAGTGGCTTGGTGGGTAAAATAACACAGTTTAGCAGCAAACATTGATGGCTACCTCAAGAAAGGAAGAAGGAAAAGACTGATAACTAAGACTTTCATGTGTTGAACATGGAAAATCTATGTCCATATACACAAACATGCACACACACATACTTAAATTGTCTTTTTTTTTTATGGAGGAGGGTCATGTGTCTATGTGTTACTTTCATTGGTTAATAAAGAAACTGCCTTGGCCCTTTGATACGACAGAAAACTAGGAAGGCAGGGAAGACAGAACAGATGCTGGGAGGAAGAAGGGAAGTGAGCAGACATCATGTCTCTCCTGAGACAGAAGGTTAAGAATCTTCCTGGTAAGCCACCACCTCGTGGTGCTACACAGATTAATAGAAATGGGTTAATCAAGATGTGAGAGTTAGCCAATAAGAGGCTGGAACTAAGGGGCCAGGTAGTGTTTAAAAGAATACAATTTGTGTGTTGTTATTTTGGGTATAAAGCTAGCCATGCAGAAGCTGGGCAGGAATGCAGCCCACAGCTCCTTCTACATTTTTTTCTTTTTTTTCTGAAAATGCTAAATGACTGAATTGTTTTTTTCTAAAGAAAACAATATATGCAAGGGAAGATGTGGGGGGGGGGACATTTATTCACAGCTGGGTGTGTCAACTGGTATGGTACAGTCATTCTAGAAATCAGTATGAAGCTTCATAAAACTGTATGTAAAATAGAACTACCATATGACCCAGGTATCACACCCCAGGTATATACACAAAGGAATCTACATTTTACCACAAATAAACTTACACATAAATATTTATTGCTCTCTATTCACAACAGCAACAAAATCAAATTAGCCTAAATGTCTATCAACAGATGAATTGATAATGAAAATGTTTTAT